TATGAGGCCAAGAATATAGCTCAGTGGTACAGCACCGGCCTGACAAGTGTGAGGTTCTGAGTTTGATTCCAGGAACAAAAAAAAAAAAAAAAAGAATATGAACAAAATGTTTAAAAATAACCTCGATTGTATGTCAACTCATTACAACATTGCAAGAGACAAATTTGAACTTAAGAAAAGTTTGATTTTATGAAAAACTTAAGTTGGACAGTTTGTTTAGATGTGCGTTAAAACATATTTTAAAAAGAACCTGGAAATAAAACCAATTTGTATCCTAAAATAATTGTGTATAAGAACAGAATTAAGGGCTTGCTGGATAGCTCAGTTGTTTAAAACACCACTTGGGCAAATGCAGTCAGGCACATAGGACCATGGTTCAATTCCCAACTCCAGAAGTTGTGCTAGACCTGCCTAAAGTAGTAAAAAAAAAAAAAAAAAATCCTTCTCAAATTTTTGGGCTGGGGAAATAGCTCAGCAGATTAAGCACCTGTCTGGCAAGTACAAGGACCCAAGTTCGATCCCTGGTACTACATACCGTGCGGGCCCCTGAACCCTGGGCATACCATGCTGGCTGAAACCAGGCGTGGTAGCTCAGGCCTGTGATCCCAGCACTTGGGAGGCTGAAACAAGGCGATTACTAGGAGTCTGACCTGCATGATGAGACTCTGTATTCAATAATAATAATAATAATAATAATAATAATAGAACAGAATTATAAAATCTTAGGGCTGGGGCATATCTTGGCAGCACGTCACCTGCCTGGAAAGCACAAGGTCCTGAACTTCATTCACACAACCAAAAAAATAAAATAAAATAAAATAAAATGTAAAAAAAAAAAAATTGAAGCTGAGTAGATTAGAGTGACCTAATCTTTAATGTACTTCCCTGAAAACAATACAGGAGGAACATTGGTAGAAGCTTCAGAACAGCATAGAAGGGAGGATGGACGCAGCATCGCCCACGTGCTGGCACCACAGGGGTGCTCCACCATGCTTAGCTCCTTTCTACGTCTCCTTTCCCTCCCTCTCCTCTCGCCCCCTCCATCTCCTTATCCCCTTCACTTTGGCAGTATATCTAATGTATCTTCATTTCCTTGTATCTTTTATTTTTTGGTACTGGGGACTGAACCCAGGACCTTACACTTGCCAGGCAGGTGCTTATGCTGCTGAGCTATCTCCCTGGCCCTCCTTTTTTCTTTTATTTTGCTCTTTATTTATACTTGAGATTTCTCATATTAGAGAAACCATAAGGTGTGTAAGCTTGTGTGACTGATTTATTTTGCTTAACATTATGTTTTCAAGATGCATTGTTTTCCTCCTAATGACTCAAATGTATCCTTTATAGCACTGTAGTATTCTGTTATGTATAAATATCACATTTTATTTATTTATTTGTCTATTAATGGACATATAGGCTGCTTCCAAGATTTAGCAGGTATGAATTGTGCTGCTATAAATATGGGTATGCATATATCACTATAAAATGATTAAATCTTTCTGGAAGTATATTGTATAGCTGAGTTCAGTCTGATTTCTTTTTCTTTCTTTCTTTTTTTTAATAGTAGTAGTTATATTAAAGGTAGAAAAAGAAGGGTGGGCCAGATAGCTCAGTGGACTAAAACACTTGTAAATAGGATATCATGTGCGCATCTTGTACAGCAATTAACCACTATGAAGAATGTATGCAATGTGTTAATTATTGAAACTGTCCTACCAATTTGATTTGAAACTGTGTAATTGCTATTGGTTTATCAATAAAATTATGGGGAAAAAAAAAGAAAATGCCAGAAGAGAAAACAAAACAAAACAAAACAAAAAAACACCTGCTTAGGCAGAGCGCAACGGCTGCGGTTCAATCTCCAATCCTCGGCCTGCCGTGCTGGCCCCGTCCCCAGGTTGTGCTGATATGGCAATTGAGACTGGGTATGGTAGTGCACACCTGTAATCCCAGCGCCTGGAAGGCTGAAAACAGGAGAATCACTATGAGTCCGATCTATGTAGTAGATCTGCCCTGCAGACCCTGTCCTAAATAGTGCTTATCATGCATGAGGTCCTGGGTTGAACCACCAGCACCACCACCAAAAAAAACAAACAAACCCAAAGAACCTTGAAAATTACATTGTCTGCCTTCCACCAGGTCTAGATTTCACTGAGCTAAACAAGCCAGTTCTTGGGGTCATCTCCAATTGCTTCAGTTTGAATATTATTTTGAGGCCCTTGAATGAAAGCCTCTATAGTACACATTTTCCCCAAGTGGGTGTTATTGTATATTTTTGATCTAACATTCTTAGAACTCATTCTTACAAGTCCCCCTGTTCCTATTAATACAAACTTGGGAAGCACATATTTATTAATTATCTTAGTCTATCACACAACACTGTTGTTGCTTGGAACATATAGTGTAGTTTTCCTCTTTGGGCAAACTACAAGTTACCGGGTTAATAGAAGCAGGAAGGCATGTGGGGGGATCTCCAGAAGGACAGCCCTCTCTTGTAAGATGACTGCTTACTGTCTTACTAAAGGCCGGACAGGGTTTCAGCAACGGCAATCAGTTTCCTTAGCAAGTGAAGCAGGTTGTATTTGCAGGCAAGGGAGCATCGGGGAGGAATGAGGGTATTGGAGTCCCAGCTTTGTCTAAGTCTACCCAAACCACCCTTCCCCACATCCAAGAGTTTCTCTCCTTCCCAATGAATACCCTAACTTAACCAAAAGATGTCATGAGACTACATGCTCTGTTGTCAGCCTGTAATCTGCAAAATTAAATTTTGGGCCTTGCCTGCCAGAAGGCTGCAAGAGACCAGGTTTCTTTATTTACTTGTTTATTTTGGTGATGGGGCTCTAACACAGGTACCCTATTACCAAGGAGCTACAGCCCAGTTTCCTTTAAATTTATTTCATTCAATTTTATTGTAAGTTGACTACTTTTTTAATAAATAAAAAGAGATCAGTTCTTTTAAGTTTTTCATAAAATCTCTGTGGGTCTCTACCTATTCCTTGAGCACAAAGTTCAACTTTTTCTCTCTTTCTTTCTTTTTATTTATTTGTTTATTTTGCGGTACCAGGGATTGAACTCAGGACCTTGCACTTACCAGGCAAGCACTTATTCTATTGAGCTATCTCCCTAGCCCCAAAAGTTCAACATTCTGATATTATCTTATTCTCACTGAAATACTGTTTCTTCTCCAGTACTACCATGAATCCTTTTACCTTTGGCTGACTTTATTATCATTCTAGGCAAGTACTTGAATTCTCAAAGCCTTGCCTTTTTTGGGGCCATTTAACCCAAAAACACAGATGGTATTTTCAGAACTCCTGATGCTAGCCCATGCTGTGATGATTGGTTTTATTTGTTGCCCTAGCTAGATCATAGTACCTAGTTATTCAATTAAAACTAATTAACATATACAAGGTGAGCTGCACTTGGTGGCTCAGGCACGTAATCCTAGCTACTACAGAGGCTGAGGCAGGAGAATCACTGAGCTCTTGAGACCAAACTGGAAACATAGTGGGACACCATCTCAATAAAACAGTTCAAAGTGCCTGCCTTGCAAACACAAGGTTCCAAGTTTGATCCCTGGTACTAACAAAAACAAACAAACAAAACAACAATAATAAAAAACAAACAAAAAACCCTCAAAAGAAATAATTAGGGCTATGGAGATAGCTCAGCAGTCTAAGCGCCTGCCTAGGCAAGTGCAAGGACCCAAGCTCAATCCCTAATATGGCATGCTGTACTGGCCCCACCTTGGGCGTGCTGAGCTGGCCACCAAGGCCTGATGTGGTGGCGTACCCCTGTAATCCCAGTGATGGGGAGGAGGCTGAAACAGGAGGATTGCTACAAGTCTGAGCTGCGTAGTGAGATCCTATACTGAATACATGAAATTTAAAGATAATACTAATAATTAATGAGGTAGACTTCACACAATTGTTTTGTGGCCTAAGAATAAGAGATTTCCCTCGAGGAAGGGGAGTCTCCCAGGGCTTACAGTTGCAGCATTAGCCGGAAGTTCCAGCCTGAAAGCTGCTCTAGCATCTCGGACCTGCCTGGCCAGCCCCCATGATTGTGTACGGTAGTGACTCCTGCAATACATTTTTGTACGTGTATGTGTGTGTACATACCGCTATTTCATATCATGCCTACACACAGATGCTCCTTTGATTTGCCTCCCAGTAAACCAATTGTATGTTAGAAACACCATAAAGTGAAAAATGCATTTAACACTGCATACCTAACAATCATCCTACATGTTTCCACCTCAGGAAAAGATCAAAATTCAAAATTTCACATGTAGTTTGTATTGTATGTCTATAACTTTCACAGTATTGTAAAGTTGAAAATTTGCAAGTACATATATATGTGTATGTGTGTGCATGTACAATATTCATATATATAACAACCAGTAACATATATTTTATAACATAATATATACACCTTATATAGGATATGCATTGTATGGTTCTGTTACTCTGGCAAGAACCTTAACTTATATACAAGCCATGAATTCAGGCTAGTTATAGAATCTTTTTATTTTTTGGGTATTTGAGAGAGGGTCTTGCTGTGCAGTTTCAGCTGGCCTTGAGCTCACTTTGTAGCCTATGCTGACCTCGCACTCACAGCAATCCTGCCTCGAACTCACAACAATCCTGCCTCAGCCTCCAACGTACTGGGATTACAGGCATGTGTCACCATGCCTGGCTTAGTTATAGAATTTGCTTGGCCCAATACAAAAAGAAAATGTGGAAACACATTTTCAAAAAGCAAGATAAAGTATTAGAGGTGCTAAATTATTTTTATTAATTTTCTTGAGAAACAAATAGCAATGAGACACTTTCAAAACAGGTTAGTAGGACAGTTACAATAATTAATACATTGCATATTGTTGTCTTCGTAGTATTCATAGTACAAGATGCAGACATGATATCTTGTCTAAACATTATTTGTTTAAAACTTTCTTCTCACTGAACTAAGAGAAAGTAGCTGTATATCTATCCTAACTGATAAAAAATATGGAAAGCTTCACGAATTTGTGTGTCATCCTCGCTCAGGGGATATGCTAATCTTCTCTGTATAGTTCTGGTTTTAGTATATGTGCTGCCGAGGTGAGCATGGTGAGCTAAAATATTAAGTTTTCCTTTAAAAATATTTTATTGCAGGACACTATGGTAAACACCTGTAATCCCAGCTACTTGGGAAGCTGATACAGGAAGACCTCAAAGTTGAGGCTAGCCTGAGAAACTTATGGAGACCCTGTTTTAAAACTTAAAAACTGCTGAGGAAGTAGCACAGTAGTTGAGTGCTTGCAGATTAACATGAATCATTAACCTAATGGTCAACTTGTAACACACAGCTGAACTAAATCGAAGTGGTTCTGCATGTGGAGGACCCACACAAGGGTGGTTGCAACAGCATGGAAGGAGAACTGGAAGGAGAATGGTGCACTGCTGAGTCTCCTGGAGAACCTTGTCATGCTGGTTTTCCTGATATGAGCTCAACTGTGCTCATCGCTGGAGGAGCGCAGGTCCTTGCTGTTGCTAAGGATGGCTACAGTTCCCTTCAGCGAGCTCTGGCCCTGCCTTGAGCATTGCTTCCTGGCTCCAGGGCAGGGCCCTTTCCCTGCTGACACAGACCCTTCATCCCACCAGTGTAGACTTTGTAGCTTCCACCACTGACCTTTGAGACTTGCCAGTGCAGATACAAACTTGGATGATACATTGTAGCCTCTAGGCTTTCTGTGGGACACAAGCCCTTGGCTGGATTCTTTGGGTCTCTAGTGCACGGACAGATCTCTGGTACTCTTCCGCATTGGACTCTTTGAGTGAATATTATAAAATAATCCTATAAATTAGTTGTCTTGGGACCAAGGACTTATCTCAGTAACATAAGCGCTTGCTTGGCAAGCACAAGGTCCCAAATTCAGTCTCCAGTACTGAAAAAAAAATTAGGTGTCCTATAATAAATCTATTCCCTTGTAAATCCTGATACAGCAGTGTCCCTTGGTTTGATCCCCAGTACCACCAAAAGCACTTTACTTTTTATAAAATATATCAGAATTAATAATGATCCATTAATAATAACATAAAATTATTAGTTGTAAACTATTTTGGTATCATAATTTTATATAATGAATAAATCAGATTTATTGATGTGATACCTTGATCTTCAGAATTTTCTGGCTTGCTTTTCTGCACATCAAATTCATTAGGGTCATAAAAATTTATAGTTTTAGAGACTTTATTTTTAATCAATGCAATTAAAAGCAACCTTGGTTCCTGGCAAATGCTCGAATAAAAATAATTTTTAATTTTAGGATTTTCTAGGGACAGCCAGATAGTTCAGTGGACTAACGCACTTACTTAGGCAGAGTGTAGTGGCCAGGGTTAGATTCACAGCATGCAGTGCCAGCCTCGCTCCTGGGGTGTGCTGAGATGGCAAGGGAGACTGGGCATGGTGGTGTGTACCTGTAATCCCAACGCTTGGGAGGTTGAAAACAGGAGGATCACTACAAGTCCGATCTACATCGTAAGACCCTGTAGACCCTGTAACCCCTGTACTAAATGCAAAGAAAAAAAAAAAAAAAGATTTTCTAGTGATGCAACTGTTACTATGTATTTATTTATTCATTCATTTATTTGTCTTCTTTTTCATTGTCCCAAATTTATTGACATTACAGCATAGCAAAAAGATTCAAACAGCTCCACGTGGTGTTTTGAAATTCATCCCGATGGTAGGCTGTGTGACCTGCAGGTTGGAGAGGCTGCCGAAGTCCAAAAGCTTCAGCATTTCCTTAGTGTCAGGATCTACTTCAATGATTTCCTGATCCAAGGCTGAGACCTCAGGGACGTAATTATCTCTCCTTTCTCTCTCTTCTTCCTTGATGGAAATACCCCGCACAGGGCCCCTCTGTATCTGCTTCATCAGATGTGTGACATAGCCTGCTATCTGGTTGCGGAGCTTCTTGCTGCGGGTGATGGCGATTTCCTTGCACATGCGCTTGTTGGTGCGGAAGTCGTTTCCCAGGCGCGTATAGTACTTCTCGATGATGACGTGGGCTGCCTTCTTTACTGCCTTGGTACGAACGCGGCCCATGTTGGCGGGTCCCAAGGAAAGAGCTATTTGTCTTCCTAAGGCAGGGTCTTGGTATGCAGTTCAGGCTGGCCTTGAGCTCACTTTGTAGCCTAGGCTGGTCTCAAATTTGCAACAATCTGAATCCAAATCTGATCTGCATAGTGTGACCCTGTAAACTCTGTAGACAATGTACCAAATACATTAAAAATATTTTTTTGCAACAATCCTCCTGCCTCATCCTCCTGAGTTCTGGGGTTATTGGCATGCATCACCATGCCTGGATGTTACATTTTTCTTATAGACTTTGGCAACATCAGCAGAAATTATTTATTTATTTATTTATTTGGTAGCACTAAGGTTTGAACAGAGGGCCTTCAATTGATCTAGATCCTTCATCCTTTTCATTTTAAAACAGGGTCAAATTTGCTACCTGAGTGTGGTAGTGCATGCCTGTAATCCCAACACTTGGGAGCCTGGTGCAGAAGGATCATCTTGAGTTTGAGTCTAGCCTGCACTACATAGCAAGACCCCATCTCAAAAAGAAAAGAAAAAAAAAAATTTGTAAGTTGCCAAGGTTGGGCTCAAATATGTGATCCATCTGCCTCAGCCTCCCAGAGTGTTCATTACAGGTATAAGCCTCCATGTTTGTGTCTGATGTTATTTTGAAACATAGTAGACATTTTTATTCATCTAAAGCTTAATGATTCAGGGGCTGGGGAGATGGCTCAGTGGAATAAGAGATTCCCTGGCAAGTGCGAGGGCCTGAGTTCGACCCCTGGTTCTGCAAAATAAATAAATAAATAAAGCTTATTGATTCATAGAAGATAATTTTTCTAAAAAGATTTTTTTTTTTCCTGTATTTCAGGGAAGGGTTTACAGGGTGTTCAGGGTCTCACTACTAGATCGGACTCGTAGTGATTTTCCTGTTTACAGCCTCCCAAGAGCTGGGATTACAGGTGCATGCAACCAGGCCCAGTCTCAATCACTATCTCAACCCCCTCCCTGGGGGCGGGGGCGGCATGGCAGGCCCCTGGGATCTAACACCTGGCCCCTGAATCTGCTTTCAGGCATTTTAATCCGTTGAGATATTTGGCCCACTCTCTCATTAATGACTTGTTTACCCAAAGTTTCATGTGAAAATAGGGTTTCAGTGGTAGAGCACATGCTTATTACAGGAAAGGCAGGGGCCTCAATACCCAGCAACAAAGTGGAAACAAACAAACAAAATCATTCTTCTCCCTGCCTCTCCTCCAGTGCTGGGGATGAAGAAAGTGCTTTTTGTTTTTTTTCCCTGTCAAATGCAATTAACCTTATTTATTTTTTGCCAGTTTTTTTTTTTTTCTTTTATGGTATTGGGCCTCAAAATAGAGGTTTTCTGGCCACTGAGCTATATCCCCAAGCCCTTTTATTTTTCATTTGAGACAGGGCCTCCTAAATTGCCCAGTTGGACTGAACTTGCGATTCTCCTGCTTCATTCAGCCTACGAAAGTGCAGGGTTATAGGCACGCATGTCCCACAACGTCTGGATTTTGCCACGATGGTTAAATTCAGCTTTTTTTCCCCATAATTTTATTGAGAAGCAAAAAGCAGTGAGACAGTTTCAAATCAAACTAGTTTGATTAATTATTGACAGTTTCAATAATTAAAACATTGCATACTCTCTTTCCAGTGGTCATTTGCTGTATAAGATGCAGGCATGATATCCTATTTACAAACACTATTAGAGCAATTCCCTCTATTCATTAAGAGAATGTAACTATATATCTATCCTAACCATTTTGAATACACAGATACAAAATGAACATTCATCTGTATCCCCTTTTTTATTTAGTTCTGTCAATTGAATATTATAGGTGTGTTAATTCAGCATAATATTCTAAAGAGTCCAGTAATCCATAATAGTATTGGGTCTTCTGCTTTGCTGGCAATGTCAGAAATTGTTGACCTGAGTCCCCTACAGCTCAACATAACATCATGGCTTTGCTTCTTATACTTTGTTTTTATACTTTTCTGGTTGTATATGGTTAGATTTCTGGACTTATGTGTAAACATAAAAATTATATAATTCTTTATGCCTATTTTTAAAATTTTTTAATTTTTTAAATGTTTTTTTCATCACATTCTGTAGGGACTTAAAATTTAACATATCAATACTTGATGAAAAATACCTGTTCCATGGTATGCCTAAGATGTTTGATATTCAGACAGATAGTGAGGTTAAGCTTAACAGCCTAGGTTGTATGGTAATAACAATAAGCTTCTCTTCTGGAGGGTTAACCATCTAAGTTTGTAGACCAAAATTAGAGAAAAAGGAGGGCCGCAAGGAAAGCCAACACTTTGGCCCTAGCCTTCCTAGGTCAATTAAGACTCAGGACATATGAGAACCTGTACTGTAACATTATGTGACTCAGTTGTGTCCCAAATTTTCTGACCAAGGAGATTATGGGGCCAAAGAGGAAAGTGATCAATGATGTAGTGTGTGCCTAAGGAGAGTCACATGGAGAGAAAACATTCTCTCAGACTTTCACAGAGAGCACATTGGCCAAGCAATGATTGTGACTCATCCACATGGCTGACACTGACAAAGGATCTACAAAGTGTGGTACAGGGTTATAGGATAAATCCTGAGAGGATTTGACTGACTTTATCAGATCCAAAATCTACAACTTTTGTTGCATAGGTCTTGCTTTATCTTGGTCTTAACCAACCAGCAGAAAAGTATAAATTCAGCTTTCACTTATGAACCTATGGATATTTTGCAACACTTCAGCAGTTTTCCAAATCTTAGACTCTAGGCTAAGTGTGGTGGCATAGGTCTGTAATCCTAGCACCCGCAAAGCTGAGGCAGGAGGGTCTGAGTTTGAGACTAGACAGGGCTACACAGCCAGGTAGAATACATAGTGAGGTCTTGTCTCAAAAACAAAACAACCAAACCTTAGACTTTAAACTTGAAGAAATGGACAACGCTTTGACATGCTTTACAATGTCCATGGGCACATTTTGTTCATAATAATTTATCGCTGATGTCTATTGCCAGATTGC